GGCTTGATATCGCACAAAAATAATATATTTCACAATGAGATCAGTGTGACGGTCATCAATCTAGCAAAACCAGTGTTAGCATGCTAATATTGACACCAACGTCCAATTGTAAAATAGGTTTTGTTTTGTAGGTTTTGACGTCAGTGGCAGGTTTTTGTTTGTTGGTGTTCACGTCAATGACAGGTTAGGGCGTGTGGGTATTGACGTCAATGACAACTTGTGGTTTGTGAGTGTTCACGTCAATGACAGGTTATGGCTTGTGGGTATTGACGTCAATCACAAATTGTAGTTTTTGGGTATTTAGGTCAATGACAGTATGTGGTTTTTAGGCTAAACGTACTCAGTACGCATAGCCTATTGTGACGGCCTTTCAGACAAACTTTACCGATCCTGGCCTTCTCATTGGCGGAAATATCAAAAAGAGTTAGAGCCCTTTAGCGGCAATTTTCTGCGTAAATAATGCCGCTATTTTTCAAATCGCTTTTTTAAAAGCATCCAAAATTAGTTTATTTTTTAATAACAATGCGATTACTATATATTAGAAAAAAGAAGCACAGTGTGGTTGAACGATTGATTAATTTTGAACAATATATTTTACGGAATTCTCGACATGACGTAAGCGTACAAAACACTATACATGCGAGTTGGCGCCACGATAAGAAGCTAGTCTGGGGGCTTGGCACTTATAAACAAACAAAACTTACAAACAAAACATCAATATTGCTTTAATCCCTGTTGTTGTGGCAAGATCGTCTTGATATATAACATCACTTTACCTCATTAGACGTCACAAAATTGGACTGTTCGTCCTACGCGCACACCCGCCGATATGACACTTTTTCAGGTTTTTCACACCCACCGCCATGACACTTTTTCAAGTTTTTGAAGATGAAAAGTTTGAGCTTCAGAGGCAAGGTACATTTGGTGCTCATGATTTATGAATGATATATTTTTGATACTGTACAATTAAGAAAAATAGCCTTTGGTTCTCTTATTTTAGTAATTTTTGCATTCCAAAGTGTAGGAGTATAGGGACAGTAATATAGCTTAGCGGTTATTTGTGAACGTTTTTCAATACGTTTAGCCTCTCAGTACTTTCAGTACTTTGATTAGGTATTGAGGCTGATGACAGGTTTTTGTTTGTAGGTGTTGACGTCAATGACAGGTTTTGGTTTGTTAGTATTGACGTCAATGACAGGTTGTTTTTTGTGGGTATTGACGTCAATTTTTTAAACTGATCGCCCAGATTTACTCAACAAAACTAGGTATCAAGGTCATGACAGACTGCCGAATCAGCCGTTTTCCAACGAAACAGACCAGGACAACTCTCCATAAAATGGTGTGACAAGCTTGAGAATGTTCCATTTCCAGATAGCAACAATCCTACGCCACATCATATATTTTAACATGTCCCAATTTATTTTAGATTCAGGGGATTGCTTCCAATATCACGATATTGACTGCTGACAAATGAATTGATAACATATGGTTTTGAGAGATTACAGTTGATAAGAAGTATGGGGATTTTTTATGGGTGTAACCATAATCCCATTAGAAAATATTAGATTATCTTGTTATATTATCGGAGGAAAGAGAGCAAAAAATATAACAAGATAGGAACTTGGAAATAATAAATGTAAGCACTTAATTACTTTAAGTTGACATTCATAGTCATTATGTCACTGGCCATAAGAAACTTTGACGTGACGAGCTTTAAACGCACTTCGAAAAATTTCCGCATTACCCATATGTCCATCAAATCTATCTGAACGGTTTTTAACGTTTCAATAACAATTCATAATTGGTGTTTCTGACATGTTAAAACTGATCTTGGTTCAAGAACAAGTGAATGTTTGAGATTATTTTTAATTCATAATTATATTCCTGACCAGGACATTGACTTTTCTTACACGTAAATTGTAGAATATACTCTGCTTGATCACTTACTAAAGTGCTAAGCTTTATCAAACTTTTTGTAGCTATGCAAACGCTACAGTTACAACAAATAACGGAGTGTGGATTGGTTTCTAGCTTTATGCAATCGTCTAGATGTTTTTTGTGCATCGTAAAATTAACCTACAGAATACACATGTGAACATGGGAACTAAAGATCACACTAAAGAGGACATACATAAACTAGTTCTACGGAAACAGCTGACAAATCAAAATTTTATTAAGAAAATATCTTAATCTGCCTACATATTTTCCAAAGAACGTGTCTCCATAGTTTCAAACATATTATACAACTGCAGTGTTAACTCCCATATATCAACGATTTTTTTTTTAATCCCTAATATATGTTCACTATGTTTGGCATATGTATAACCAGTCCTGTTGAACAACAAGCCTTCATCACGTGTTGACATATGGCGGTACATCATAAAGAAAGAAAACACACGAAAATAGTTAGGTAGTTGATAGTTAATTTACAAATGTTGAACAAGAAACCCGTAGTTTATAGTAACAGATTTCGGAAAGTGCGGATAAGAAGCTTTATAATGCACTTCTGAAGTACGACAATATCACACAACATTGATATGTTAATGTTTATCTAAAAACGATTGCGATAAGTGTATCATTGGACAAAGAGAATACTAAAATAGTATCCTAACTGTGTCAGATATCCACTCAGTACATGACCGCACTAAAATAAAGCGTAAATACGTATCAACTCCTAATGTTCGTATGAAATATCACCAACTGATCTGATTTTATCTACATTTCAAATTAATTCATAGTCAGGTTGTACATAAACTGCCTTAATAAACAAATGAATGTTGGTACAGTTCTCATATGATGTTACACAAACGTCACACGAAATTTATTATTTTCGTTTTACCAAACGCAAATGTGTCGCTCTACATACGACACTGATGACTGTCCCACTAAAATGTCGCTGTTCCCTATACTACTCCGAGCACTCTCCACCAAAATATGGTCGCTCTATATACTATTCCGGCAGTTGTTTCCTTAGATGTCGCCATTCTATATACGACACTGACTACTGTCCCACTAAAATGTCGTCGCTCTATATACTAATATGACTATTTTCGACAATTGACACACTAAAATGTTGTCGTTCTGTATACTACACCGACTACTGTCCAACTGAAATTTCATAGATCCACATACGACATCGACCATTGACACGCTCAAATGTCGTTTAAATTAATGTCGTTCTATATACTAAGCCAACTACTGTCCCACGAAAAGATCTTCGTTCTATATACTGAACCAACTACTGTCCCACGAAAAGATCCTCGTTCTATATACTGAACCAACTACTGTCCCACGAAAAGATCCTCGTTCTATATACTGAAACAACGACTGTCCCACGAAAAGATCCTCGTTCTATATACTGAAACAACGACTGTCCCACGAAAAGATCCTCGTTCTATATACTGAAACAACGACTGTCCCACGAAAAGATCCTCGTTCTATATACTGAAACAACGACTGTCCCACGAAAAGATCCTCGTTCTATATACTGAAACAACGACTGTCCCACGAAAAGATCCTCGTTCTATATACTGAAACAACGACTGTCCCACGAAAAGATCCTCGTTCTATATACTGAAACAACGACTGTCCCACGAAAAGATCCTCGTTCTATATACTGAAACAACGACTGTCCCACGAAAAGATCCTCGTTCTATATACTGAAACAACGACTGTCCCACGAAAAGATCCTCGTTCTATATACTGAAACAACGACTGTCCCACGAAAAGATCCTCGTTCTATATACTGAAACAACGACTGTCCCACGAAAAGATCCTCGTTCTATATACTGAAACAACGACTGTCCCACGAAAAGATCCTCGTTCTATATACTGAAACAACGACTGTCCCACGAAAAGATCCTCGTTCTATATACTGAAACTATATACTGAAACAACGACTGTCCCACGAAAAGATCCTCGTTCTATATACTGAAACAACGACTGTCCCACGAAAAGATCCTCGTTCTATATACTGAAACAACGACTGTCCCACGAAAAGATCCTCGTTCTATATACTGAAACAACGACTGTCCCACGAAAAGATCCTCGTTCTATATACTGAAACAACGACTGTCCCACGAAAAGATCCTCGTTCTATATACTGAAACAACGACTGTCCCACGAAAAGATCCTCGTTCTATATACTGAAACAACGACTGTCCCACGAAAAGCTCATCGTTCTATATACTGAAACAACGACTGTCCCACGAAAAGATCCTCGTTCTATATACTGAAACAACGACTGTCCCACGAAAAGATCCTCGTTCTATATACTAAACCAACTACTGTCCTACGAAAAGGTTCTCTTTCTATACACTATGCTATACTATATTTGATCAATTTATTTATTAATTGATTTATTTTACAAATTTCCATTTTGTTAGGAATAGACATTGTTGTGATCTCAGTAGAGTAAAGCATCTTTAACTAAATTGACGTCACGTCTGGGCTATCGTATGCAAAGTCACGTTCCAAAATTGGATAAGCTTATGACAACGAAGCCGAAAAGAAAGGGAAAAAACACATTTAACTTCCTATCACACAAGAAATTAAAGTAGTTTCCAATTACATCAATGTGTTGTAATGTGTTCTAATATTAGGAATCGTGGATATCGCGATATTTAACAAAAAAGTTTTGAGTGTAGAATAAGCTCGATCATGAAATAATTTTAGAGAGGTTAGCATCTACACGTTAATCCTACACATATACCGACAATTAAAAATTCAAACATGATGTCAATCTGAAGTACAATATTGCACAACATTACGACAGAATTATATGACATTCAGTTTGTCGTTTATCTAAAAATGGTTTATGATAACTATATCAGTGAACAAAGGTGATCACAAATGTAGGGCCCTACCTGTGTCAGCAATGTACCCTGGTACTGCTCGGTGGATTTTGTACTGGCTGATATGAAAAAGGTATATAAAGCCAGTCCAGCATCAGAGTTTCACAACAGACGCAGAGAAGTATAGACGAGCCCCAGCTCCCACGAATGGAGCTCAAGTTACTTTTAGTCGTTGCCCTGGTGGCTTCGACTCAGGCGGGTGAGTTAATTTTATGGATACAACAGACTTATCTGAAACTAGGTGGTGTGATTTACTATAGAAAAAGATTTCAACTATACTTTAAAGTTTCACTATTGTCACAAATATTTTTAAATGTCCGATTTTTCCTTTTTCCTTTGGTGATTTATCGTTATGGCGTTTACTTTGTATCCTATGTTCTTCTCTAACTGTGAAGTTTAAAATTATGACTGTATGTCTAACTTTGATCACAGTAATTTGGTAGTCAATAACTTATTATATTTTTGTTGGTTCGCAAAAAAAATGACTTTTATTTCAGGCGTGTTATATTGCATGATTGAAGTCAAGTTGCTTTAATTGTTTTTTGCTGATATCTTTTTAATTCCTCTCGCTCTGGGTTTTCGATAGACAATATAAACAATCTCTAACATTATAGTTACTTCACTACAACATTTTTGATACAATTTATAATCTCTGGTACCGAATGTTCCGTTTACCCAGCCATTTAATTATACATTTTGAAAATTTCATTTCATTTAAAACACATGATTTCGATGGGTTTGTTATTTGATTTAAACGTCCGATTTGAAGATGTGATATACAGATAAATGCATTTTCCGTCTTCTGTAAATGTACTCATAAAAGAAGACGTTCTTTAATGGCAACTGGAAAAGCATATCTTTGGACTCTACACCATACTTCCATTTATACGGTTTACGGACTCAGAAATGACCGAGAGTTTATCGGGAACGGACGGCGAGACCCATCATGCTCTGGAAACCCAGCCCTCCTCCTCCAATGTTCAATGTACATGTCTGCCAATAATGGCTTACTCATCAAGTAACATCGTAACACAATGTCTCCTTGTTTTAATTCTAATCCTGTTCTCTAAAACTTCACTGCTTTCAATTCATCCAGTTGTAGCAATGGTTCTGAAACTTATTTATTTATGACGAATGGAAAGTTAATCAGCGTTCACATTTTCGAACGGTAGTTTAAGCAACTTTGTCAATTGGTAATTGTATGATGAATTTGGACGATTTTCATTTGTTATTTACATGTCGACAAATTGATTTCGTCTAAAGTGCGCTGGAAAACATTTTGTTTCAGAATTTTTTGACTGCTTATTGATTAAATAATTCCAATTTTAGTTCTATTGATTGATAGACCAAATGCAGTTGACAGCCAATGTGCTAAAACGTAATGTCCTTTAACATGTTTGGTGATAGTGACATGTTCTGTTTGTTGCCTTTGTTGATCTGGTAATAATTGCCATATTCAGTACTTATTTCTCCTTTGATAGGATCTTTCCGATATTTTTCATTGAGGTGTTAAGCAGCAGAAAATCCACAAATATGAGTTTCGTCCACATGACAATATTTTCAATATGATTTCTTAAATACTTTTATTTTCAATATTTTTAGTAGCAACTGTAAACTCATAAAAATGTCTGGGTTTGTTCCTATTACATTAAACAGCAGACACCTAAAGGTAGTATACATGTGTTGGTATACATTGACATCTATTACTTACATACAAGGCTGAGTTTGACCGTTGAACTTTTTTATTGGACTGCATTGACCTTCTAACTACTCAAGAATGTTTTTTCTTGTAACGTTACAAGTCTAAAGACCGTTTTTGAAGTTATTGACATTTATAAAATTCTAGTTTATTTGAATGATGTTGGTCTATATTATAGACTATTACTTACCATTTTAAGCTGTTGTAATAACATAGTCATTTAAGTTTTTTAGCATTTGTCTTTTACCTTTTAGTTTGTTTGATATTTTTCCCCTTATGAATCGTTGTGTTTCATCGGTTGATGGCCCGAATGACTTTTTTGGTATTGACAGGCCGTTAAGACTGTAACAATAATGATAATAAAGCTGAGTTTGAACGGGGAAACAGTTAGACATACTTATACATCATATGTCCACCTAAAAACCTTTTACATAGGTTTTCTGTTTTTCTTCCAGGCCCTATAGACTCTATTAGAGATTCGTGTTCAAAAACATGTCCAAGTAAGTATTTTTACGCAATCAAAAGGTAATTAAACAATTACATCAATAACGAACCAAAATTATTATCAAAATGTGATTGAAGTTTGACTCCGCCTGCGAATACTGTACAATACTATTTTTATCAGAGTAAACTATCTCAGGCCCCAACTGTTGTAAAATCAATTGTTTTTTCAAAGGTACAAATAAGTTTGGATACAGACCGGGAAGGTCGTATGAGTTTGATTACAATGTAAAAACATCCACCAGTGTGAAAGGAGCATCAGAAGGATCGTCCGGAATGGAACTAACGGCTAAGGTTCATGTGGAGGCAGTTTCCAAATGTGATTTCATTCTCAGGGTGTGTATTCAAGTTCAGTTTAATTAGAGTATATGCAATTTATCTATATTTCTGTTACGTTTTTATCAAATGCGAGTCTTCCATTTATATATAATTATGTGTTTGGTATGATTGCAATCTGTCGCATTCTGCAATGGATTCAACGCTTAATTGTAATCTATTGTCATTATATTAATGATGTCCTATCAATTATATAATAAGCATTGAATTGAAACTTCCAGAACCAGAATCAAATTAGCACGACATAAATTATCATGGAAGAATGCAAGTGACAAAAAATATTAAATTTAGGTCTATCTGTATATTTACACGTCTTAATGTAAAGATAACTGACATTTCTGATTGAAGATTGAGAATGTGCGACTGCACGAAACAGACCCAACGAACTATGAAAGGATGATATTGTCAGAGGGAAGTGAAGAACTTCGTCGTGTCTTAGAGAGGCATGATCTGCGATTTTCCTTCCAAGATGGCATCGTAGATGAGCTATGTCCATCTTCGGACGAAGTCACATGGGCTCTGAACATCAAACGGGGTATATTGTCTGTCTTCCAGAACAGCATGGATGACCTTAGACGTGACCAGAAAACAACTGAGGTTCGTAGAATACATAGATATAATTCTTGTTATCAAAACTCTTATTGCGATTTTGATTTACGGAAGTCGTAAAGAAACATGAAATTGGCATATTTCCATTCTGATGTTTTAGTCTGACGTCAATGGCAACTGCGAAGTCGAATATAGAACAATCAACGGCCAAGATGGTTATATGGTGAGGAAGACAAAGAATCTGCTCGGATGCACGGAACGTAACGACTACAGTACATCAGTCCAGGGCATTTCGTACAGAGTCCCTTCAGTAAGTAAAATATACAAACCACAATACGTTCGAATAATTGTTTAAGTCCTGTTTCAAGACTTCCACAAGTCCACAAGAATATTCAAGGCATGTGGACCTTTACATATACGTGTCTTTACAGGAGAACCAAGCTATACCTGTCATGAATAGCGAGCATCAATGCCAACAGGAAATTTCATCGGATGGTTTACTGAAGGCTGCCAACTGTGTGGAATCCCATGTTTTCAGACCGTTCTCTCGAGAGGGGAGTGGTGCAGTAACTGAGAGCAAACAGACACTGAACTTTGTTCAGGAATCCGTTCCATCGGCAACAACCGGTATGCACTATAACAATCCAATCATTAATTGATCTAAGTCATGTTATTGATCAGCATTATCTACAGTTGATGATTTGGTGCCATTGATATTCTTCATGTCATTTTGCTAACAGGCGTCATCCGAGATCGACGAGGAATGACGTTCGAACATGCCTACGACCCTGACAAATCCATTCGTTCCCAATCTGATCTAGAAGGCAAACTTATGGAGGTTTGTGATAATACAAGACAGGACATACGCCCAGATACACCAAGACTTTTCTCTGAGCTGGTGTACTTAATGAAAACCGTCGACTCACAATCTCTCCGAAGGGTGTACCAGAGACTCCGAACTGGAAGTTTGTGCGCTAACAACTTAAAGAGAGTAAAGTACGAACAGAGTTTATGCGTTACATTCATATTTCGTGCATAAGTCTTATTGGTAATCTGATAATGAAAAGTACTCTGAATAACAAACTTTATTTCTAATTATGTGTTTGCAGGAAGTTTTTCTTGGACGCAATACCAATGACAGGAACTAGTGCTTCGTTGAGTATGCTTACGGAACTAATTAACAGTCAAGAGATCACAGGTATAGAGGCCGATATGTGGCTTACAACACTCTCCTTCATCCAGCATCCAACAAAAGACATGCTGAGAGAGGTCACGGTAAGTAAACGATAATGAATCGATGAGACACTATAAATGAATAATATGGAAAGTATTCCATTTCTATAGTCGTTCAGTGTCCTTTTAAATTACCGCTATCCTTAATTACAGCCACTTCTTGCCAAAAGCAACGGAAAAGCCATGCTAGCTGTCACATCCCTGGTTCACAACTTCTGTGGAAAAAATTCGTGTGATAACGATATGGATGTCAGCATCATTGTATCTACAATCGAGGAAAAAATCGCATATGGATGTAGCGTCGACGGAGACAAATTGCAAAAGGTATCAAATCTACTATCAACAAATGAAGCTGTGAATAGTATTTTCGCGCTATGACATTAAAATGATCATTATGTATTCAAATAAGGATGATTTATAATAAGCATTCCTTTTCAGACTATCATTAGTCTTCGAGCCCTTGGAAATGCTGGGTATGCTATTCGCGCTGTTCCTAAGATCAACAGCTGCTTGACCAGGACGGAAAACCCAGTAGAGGTCAGACTCGCTGCCATAGAAGCGTTCAGACGCATGTCCTGCGATGCTGATGTATGTACCTCATTATTCAATAGCTATTGTCTATGAGATCAAAAAGTAATTCCGATTTTTATAAAGACACCCACTTGAAATTTGGAAAACAAAACGCCTGATAAAAAACGTTGTGTACCGTACAGCTTTTTCTTCCAGATTTCAAATCTTATTTGTAAGGAAACACCAAATCATATTAGAATACAAAATTATAGATCCGCTTGTGCCCTCCTGATAATGTGATTAAACATGTTTCAAGAATATTTTCTTCAAATCGAACAAGAAATCCCATCATCGAGGCTAGTTCGAGGAGGAAAATAGTGAGGTGCACTGTATAGTGAGTGTGGCATAGCAGACATAATTCCTTTTATAGCCACTTTACTGCTACGTTTGTACACTAATTATAACAGAACGTTGGGTTTTTTATAACATTAAAGATACAGTTATTATCTAAGTGACCAGTTTCACAGTTAAACATAGCATACTGATCGGATTATATTTCCGTCCGATTTCATTTACAGAAAAGCGAAGTACAAACAGTGTTTGCAAATACTGACGAAGATTCCGAGATCAGAATTGCCGCCTACCTCGCTCTGATGCAGTGTGCAAGTACTCAAACCATTAACCTTGTCAGACAGCAGCTTGAAACTGAGAACATTAACCAAGTTGGTTCATTTATTTGGTCTCACCTTTCAAACCTCAAAGAAACATCAAACATCCACAAACAAGACATTCGAGCAATTCTGCAGAATGAAGAGTTGAGGAGTAACTTCGATCTCGACAACAGAAAATTTTCCCACAATTACGAGAAATCCATTTTCTTGGAGAAGCTGAATGCTGGAGCGTCAGTTGAGAGCAACCTGATCTGGTCTTCCTCTTCTTTCCTTCCAAGGTCAATGATGGCCAATTTGACTGTCGATCTGTTCGGTCACTCCGTCAACTTGTTTGAAGTTGGGGGCAGAGTTGAAGGCTTGGAATACTTCTTGGAATCCTACTTTGGGCCCAATGGCTACTTCAGTGACAACAACGAAGCAGCTGAAATCAATGAACAGTTTGTCAAAGGCATCAGCAGCAGAAAAGTCAGAAACATTGAAAGTCAAGTAAAAGTAATAATGTCATGAACGCAGTCATTATTAGTAATGCTGTAACTGGGTATACTATCATATATATATTCATATATACCAGGTGTGAACAAATGTAATTATCTACTTACAGTTTGGATCTGCAATGGATGAACTGAAGGGAACACTTTACACGAGAGTTTTGGAAATGAGTTAGGTTATGCCCGCCTTGATGGAAGACAATCATTATTCAATGAAGACTTCAACATCCTCGAATTGCTTATCAGTATGTCCAATAACCATGACTATACATTGACACAAAACTTCATGTTCATGGATAGCAGCATGATCATTCCTACCAGTTCCGGCTTCCCATTAAACCTTACGGTAAATGGAACCGCTACTGTTGACATGAAGGCATCCGGTAAAATGGATTTGAGAAAAGTCGCCACGAGTCCAAGAAGCGTTTTAATAACTGGTGCTATCCAGCCAAGGTAAACACAAATACAAATTGTGAACACGATGGATATTCATTCGCAGGAGATTCTAAAATTTAATAATTGTTTACAAAGCGTGTAATATCATATTCTGTTTGAAATTTATAATACAATTTAAGATTACAAAAATTTATTACTCTTAAACTGAAAATAGAAAATTATGTTTCAAGTGTATATTATACCATTTTCGTTTGCAGCGCTGCCCTTGAAGTATCAAGTATGATGAGCGTAGATGCCTTCGTCACAAAGAGCGGCATGAAAATGGTTTCAAATCTGCACACAAGTACTGCAATCCAAGGAAAGATTGAGTTGGCTGATGGCCGTGTTTTGGAGATGGAACTGGATATGCCTCGCAAAAAGATGGAAATCGTCAATTTCAAGTAAGTTTGTAACTAATAAGTTTATTGCAATTGACATTTTATCTCAAATACTAATTAGGAACTATTTTAACCTTTTTATTGCATTGTCTTTTGTATGAAACAGAACTGCCTTTTTCACCGTTCACAATGACCTTCACCGTGAACAAGAGATGATAACAGAAAACAAACAAGTCCATAAGGTTTGTACAGGACAAACCATGACCAAAGTGACTGGTGTTCAGCTTTGTGGAGAAGTCCAGTTTTCTAATGCCTCAATGAAAACGGACGCTCCATACTTTCCCCTCACGGGTCCAATAAAGATGGAAATCGACCTCACAAAGAAGGACACCTTGACAAGCTACAAATTTGAAGCCAAATTTGTGAAGGTATATTTATTCTTATAAATTTTCATAAGTACAGACCATAAACAGTAGATTTAGTAAACTATTTCTTATTTAGTTAATAGGTTTCAAGATCTGTCATCATTCAATGCATAATTTGTTCATTACACATATCTATTGAAATTAAAATGTCTATTTGATCCAAACTATCTCATTGAGAGTATTTTTTCTATATTTTCAGACCAGGAAAAGCTTAGCTGCAAAGATAGCATTCGACACTCCCGGATCTTTAGTGGAAAGAAATATTGGAGTTGACTTTCTGTTGAACAATGTGGACAAATCTATCACAATGGATTTGGTTTCTCCGTGGATGAAGGCTGGTGCATCCGGTAAATATCGGTCTGAATTAAGATTTGCTCAACCTTAAATCGATGCACAATAAATTGAACTGGGCTTGTAATAGTAAAGTGGTTTTAATTGTTACGTGTAACTGGTCAAACTTTTCCTTTGAAGCATCCCTGACGAATGAACGAGGACTAAAGAGAGTGCAAGGCCGACTTAGTGTTGATGCCAACAAAGAGTTTTTAGTGAATGCGGAGGTCAGACAAGGCCGAAAAGGTTCCGCATATGTCTACACACCATCTTTTACAATAACAATACCCGGCAAAGATAACATCAACCTGGGTGGCTCCATTGAAAATCTCCCATCCAAGTCGGTTGAAGGTGACCTTACATTTACTGGTATCACAGCCGAACCTGTCAAGGGTAGATGTAAGTATCTATGAAGGTAATTCGTCCAATACAGTTTATTTGACTCATGTTTCCTCTGGTGTAAGTGATAATATATTTCGATCAATTAAGAGAAACAACAGAAACACAGTTCTATAGACTTGTACATGTACATTTCAGTTTCCCTCCAGAACAAAAAAACCATACGATCACTAATGGGTGGCATCAGTTTCACGAAAGGAAAGGAATACAGTGCCGTAGCTCGTATCCAGACAACAGGGACTGCAAAAGCGATAAAGTATAGGCCATATTTATCTATTCGCACTCCAGAAAAGGAAGTTGTCGCGTTTGGTGGCACTGCAGAGCACAGGAAGGGAAAGTCAGCTTTAATTGATTTTACTCTCAGCAAGATTGTTTCTAAGGACATCAAACTGTTTGGTAAATACAATGTACATGAGCTGGCGATTGAGAAAAGAAAAAGATAACTTATAAAATGATATGTAATTGTATGAATTCTTCTCGATAATCTTTACAATAATGTGCAATAGGAATGGGTTTTTTTCTGCCCCATAGGCTGTCACCATTTAGTCGATTTATATTTGTTTTACAGTTGCTTTATAAAGATATGACAAAAATACTCCAACTTTACAGTAGACGTATATTCCTCAAAATGACTTAAGTAGTAAACGTAGTATCAATTTACAGTCAAAGTCAGGAATTTGGGTAACAAGAAAACAATGAGGTACCAGACGAAGGTGGATGTCAGAACGCCCTACATTACCACCAAGGTCCAATCCAATGTTGTGCTCAGAGGTGGAAAGGCCCTGATAACTCGAGCTACCGTAGACTACGTCGTCCCACGGGTGATTCGAGACAAAATCACATTCAACGGGAAGGCTAACCTTGCGATGACTAAAGCTCTGAAAAGGATAAAGGGAACAATGTAAGTTGACTGTAAATATATTGTTAGAAACATTATTCAGTATCCACAAATTTGTTTCAATAATGTTCATAATATTGTGACGAAGAATGTACAATATTTCTTATTTTTCAATGGTGTTCTATTTTATATAGAAACACCGTTTTCAAGAAGAGACCACAGTTTAATATCGGTGCCACTGTAGATGCAAGTCAGACCAGAAAATCAACTGGACTACAATTTAACTTGGTCTATGGTGCAAACCGGAAAGACAAGACAAGAACTATTTCACTGTCCTCAACTGTTAGACACCAACGTTTAACCTGGTTGGAATCTACTTTAGCTGCTGATTTTGATCTGAAGCATCTCGGAATGGTACATTTTCATCCGAATTCTAAACATTAATGATATTACACCATTGAACCAAACATTCTTCTGACATTATCAAATTGCGCTTTTGCTATTTTTCAAAGAAAGATCATTTGACGAGAAACTAAGATATCTCATTACCTAAATCGTTAGAATGTAACATGACCACATCTTGTGATTTCAGGGTGTCGATTTGGGATTTCAAGGCCGTCATACACATAACCGAAAACAGCTGGAAACCACTGCAACATTCTTACCTGGTAAAGAGAATGAATTGTCTACAACTCTTCGATTAAAGAACAAGAGCAAGACTACCAAGAACTTGTCGGGTGCTATGAGCTTTTCATATGGCGGGGAAAATATTGAGGTAGGTAACGATTTGAATGAAGGAACCGACGGAGAGTTTACAAACACTCTCACGGCACAATGGGCGAAGTCAAAGAGAAATACAATCATCACAACATTCAGACTACCGTCTTCAAATGAACTGATTGGCTCTGTTGATGTCAATCTAGCAGACATGAGACGTGTGCGAATTGCGGGCCAGTACGTTTTTGCGCCAAGGAATATGAGTGTCAACACCGAAGTCCGTCTGGCCAAGGACAAGTATGCACTTTCAACGTCATATCAATTCACTGACGCAAAAGCAAGCGTGAGCACAAACGTAGAATTACCAACCAGGCATATTACATTCGAGGCTGACATGAAAAGAAAATCTCCGATTTACTCTGTTAGAACCAAACTTCTTTGGGATGCTGACAATGATGTTACTAAAGGCGTCCAGCTGGATGGACAAGCAACGGTTGCGGATATCAACACTATAGATGTTAACCTTAACAGCAAGTCACCTCTTGGCGCATACATTGTAAACCTGAAACATCGTGGAGGTAATAAGTACATATCTCACGCTGACGTAGAATGGGACGGATCCAAGCGCATTACTGTGGACACGACCTTCAGTAACAAAAAGAACAATAACTATGCAGGAACCCTCCAGATCACCACCCCATTCCGTGGCTACCGGTCTGTTGCTGTAGAGGCATCACATGTTACTGACAACTCTCAATACTCAACAAACCTCGATGTCAACTGGAAGCCCATCAAGAAAATTTCGACTACAATAATACTTCAGAGACCGATCTCCTCTTGACAAATTTGGAAGGTGAGATCGTTCTAAAAACTCCAGTAAAAGGATTTCAACGAACAACAGTTGCAGTCAACCACAAGTTAACAGACAAATTATCAACTATGGGTAAATTTACCTGGAACAAGAATTTGGTACAATTAAACATTGATGGCGCTAATAAAGGAACAACAACGACTCGAGATATAACCGGACGTGTCAGTATCAAGACAACTCTCCCGCAGGTGGGTTCTATGTACATTGGTGGAAGACATTCTGATGATGGTAGGAGATTTTCCAACAACTTCAACATGAATAAGGACGGTCAGGGTCTCGCATACGAAGGGGAGATGACACACGATAGATCTGGTTGGTCGGTACAGAATAATGGGCGATTTTCTTTGACGGCGTTGTCACACTCAATGCAGTCTGCGTGGAATCACGAAAACACCCCAACAACCATTAGAACTAATTTCAATGGGAATTATGGAGGTCATAATATTGACTTTGATATCAACTCAGACCACAATCTTGCCATTGAACAGGGAATCGGATCGCTGAGTGTGCAGTTGAGAGGAAATGTCCTGCCTACTTTTGGAGTATCTATCACCCATGAGCATGCCCGTGGATTAATAAACAACGTCCTGGCTATTCAACACAATGAAGAAAATGTAATATCAATAAAAAATAAATATGGAAGAGAGAACGGACATGTCAGTTCTGTCCACACAATTGAATTGATGAAAAACTTATACACAGCAAGACTCGACTCTCAGTACAGCGACTATCCATACAGTGGAACTGTTCATCTAGAATGGGCGCCAGCAAAGAGCATCACATTATCCGCCAGTCTAGACCGAGCCAATGGTCTGTTCAGTGGAAGAATGAATCTGCAGTCACCAGTTATGACAAACATCGCCATTACCTTAAACCAGAACAAAGAAGCGATGGAACTTATCAACACTGCATCGGTTCAGTACGGATCAACAAAAGTTGTTTCACTAGAAAACCGCATGAGAATGGATAACAACAAACGTATCTTCCTTCTCATCACATCAGAACTGGAAGATGCACGAAGACTTGAGACAAACTTTGAATTGACTGGTGATATGAACGCGTTCCAGGCAGCAGCTTACTTCGAATTACAACCTCTTCTTTCAAGGATGTCAGCATCATCACAATGGAACATGCAAGGGGACATAATTGGAAACCTCAGGGTGGATACACCATTTGCTGTTCTTCCATACAGTCAGGTCACAATTACAAGTAAATCACAAGGGGATGAAAGGATTTCTGTGATAAACATCGAATTCCTTCCAAGTCGCAATGTAAAATTGGAAAGTTCATACAAAATTCTGCCTGGTGATTTACTTGGAAGCTTAGCTCTTACCACTCCATTCGAAAAAATTCCTCGTGTAGCAGCCACAGGAAAGTTCACGGGAAATGGAAGGCGTTTCCGTTCCAGTATCACACTAGAAGATATCCATGGACAAAAGTACGAGGCAAAGTCCAGATTTGGATATGGGCGTAGACTGACTGGTGAACTGTCCCTCAAAGCTCCTCATATAAATGACATCGTTGCTATGATTAACCACGAAGCAAACGGTAGGCAGCTTACTACGCATGGGCAACTTACGTGGTTAAATGGGGACAGATATCAGGCAGTTGCTGAATTTACTGGTGAGGACAAGTTGGAAGGAAAAGTTATTTTGAAATCCCCATATTTCGATGATATAACTGTAACAGCTCATCACTCTGGAACCATTGAGCGATTCCAGTCGAATGCAGGACTTAAATATGGAGAAGAAATGTCTGAACTGGAAATCGTTTTCATCAATGATGCCAATGTGGAAGGTTCCATTATCCTTCGTTCGCCCTTCACAGGTGACATGTCCGCTCTGGTCCAACACAGTGGTAACAGTAACGACTTCCAGTCACATGCTGAAATTCAGTACCAGACGCAGAAGCAATTTGAAGCTGACGCCGCGTTCACCAGCATTGATAGCACAGAAGGTAAACTCAAGCTCAAAAGTCCGTTGTTCAACACATTCACCGTACTGTTTAATAAAAATGGACCATGGGAAAACTTTCAAGGTCATGGAGAAGTACAATACCAATCTTCGAACAAGATAGAGATAGATACTACCTTCAACATAATAAATAAAGTTGAAGGTTCCTTCAGACTACAGACGCCTTACACTGAAGACATATCAGCAGCTGTACATCACACCGGTAACATGCAGCAATTCCAATGTCACGGTGAATTGATATATCATCCAACAAAGAAAATTGAAGGGGATTTGACATTCACCAATGGCGATGTTGTAGAAGGTTCTCTAGCTGTAAAGTCACCTTTCTGTGAAGATACCGCTGTTTTCTTTCAGTATGAGAAACAGTCAGTACGTCTCAGCACACATGTTGAAGGACAATACGGCACTGAAAGAGTTCAAGCGGACGTATCTTTTGGCTGGGGAAAAAAGATGTTGGGATCCTTTGCCCTGAAAACACCTTTTACAGAAGATATGCATGCCTCCTTTCAACATACTGGAAGCATGAAACAGTTTTCATGTCATGCCGAATTGAGCCTTAATCCCAAGGAAAAGAAATATGAAGCTGATATCACTTTTGCAAAAGCAAGAAAAATGAAAGCATCTGCCTCTATCAAATCTAAACATTTCAAAGATTTAACCTTGGCTTTCAGCAATAGAGGCCGTCTCGCTAAATTCAACAACAAAATGTCCATTCAGTACGGAAAAGATAAATTAGACACAGACTTTACCTTCAGCATGAAACCGTCGATTTCCTCTGTGGTAGTCATCAATACACCATTCAAAGGTTATCGAAAGATGCAGGCTTCTGTAAAACACGTTGGTTCTTGGAAGGCTTTTAACACAAAGGCAACCGTCGCTCTTGGAAAATCCAAGATTATTGGTAATTCCAGATTCGCACTCTCACCTTTTAGCGCTGATATTAATGTAAAAACGCCTTTTGCAGGATACAAACAACTCAGTGCATCCGTTTCCCATGCAGGAACATACCAACGATTCCAGTCCAGAGCTGAGATAACGTACGGAAAACAAAAGTCTGTAATCGGCGATTTGCAGTTCAACAGTCAACCATTAACTGCTCTAGTGACTGTCACAACACCGTTCACTGGCTATGAAACACTGAAAGCAAAGCTTTCACATGAAGGGAATGATAACGTATACCAAAGTATCATCAATATTGGTCTTCCTCGTAAACAAAAGATGTCAGCTACTGCCAATATCGATATGACTTCATCATTTTCCGCAGACGTATTAGTTGAAACTCCTTTTAAAGGTTACCAGAAATTGACTGCCGCAATAACACACACTGGAACACTTTCAAGTTTCGCATGTCACGGAGAGGCTGGAGTAGGACCACGAAGGATAGTTGGTGACGTCCGGTTCAGCATGTTGGATATGGTGTCTGGAGAGGCTACCCTTACAACACCGTTCCGTGGATTTAAAAAGACGCATGCAATGTTCTCAATGGAAGGTTCATCCCGTGATTTCCGATGCCACGCCGAAGTAAGCGCTAGGAAGGCGAAGCACGAAGTTGATATGACAGTCTCGGCCATTAATAACATAGCAGGTAATCTTGTTATCAAAAGTCCGTATGTGAAGACAATCAAGGCAATTATTTCACATTCCGGAAACACTCGTGGGTTGACATCGGAGGGGAAATTTGTTTATGGTGAAACAGAAGTGCTTTCCGGACGATTTAACTTTAACTCTGAACCGTCTATAACTGGAACAACCTCCATCAAATCTATATGGACAGCACCAGCCATCGTAAGCTTTTCTCATTCCGGTGACCTATTGAATTTCAACTCGCAAGTCGATGCATCCTATGCGGAATCACATGTTGTTTTCGAAGCGTCCCTCGACACACGTCGTGATATTTCTGGAAGCGTAAACCTCAGAAGCCCATTCTATCCATTGGAAGATCTGCGCGCCACTGTTTCCCACACAGGAACTTTCCTGAACGGCCAATATCAGATCGGAGGTAATTACAAAGGACAGGAAATAGAAGCTGTGATCGTTGTAGATACTGAAGGAAAGAAGGGAGTGTCAGTTGATATCACAACACCATTTAGTGACTACCGACACATGAAAACTGCCATCAGTCACACATATACACAGGAGATGATAACAGGAAATATCGAAATGGAGCTCAATGAAGACAAGATTGAGTGTCAAGCTAACATGAACTTGATGAATGGTCTGAGTGGCAAATTAATAATAAAGTCACCTTGGTACAACGATATCATTGGCGAATTTAGTTATACTGGACCTCTGTCTGCTTTCGTGACACACGCTGAATTGACATATAGTGGCATGAAGCAGTTCCAATCTGACACTTCCTTCGAAACTAATGCCCGCACGACTTTAACCGCGACCATTGATACACCATGGGAACAAGTTCGTACCATAGGAATCAATGCAAGGCATCAAGGTTCTCTAGAAGAATTCACGTCATATCTTGAGATATCTCGTAATAATCAACGAATGGTAGCAGATATCTCCTGTAGTTCCCTCAATGGAATTGACGCAAGAACAACAATCAGAACTCCATTCACAAAAGACATAGTCATGGTTTTCACCAAAGGCGGAACGATCATGAATATGCAATCTCATGCCGAGTTGAAGTATGGACGTGTTAAACAAATCGAATTTGATGGGACATGGGATCTGACATCATCTATCGATGGAACCATAACCCTAAAAACACCAGTAGAAGGCTTCAATAACATGTTGTTCAAAATGAGTCACGTTGGAGGAATGAATGGCTTTCGGTCAAGTGTTACAGTCGTCTACTACATGAACCAGAAAATCGAAATGAACGCTGTATTCAGAAATGGAGCCACACAAGAAGCTTCTGTCGTCTTCACGTCTCCATTCACATCTAATTTCCGCGCTTCGTTTTCGAAAGGAGCTGAAGAGGCAACAGGCGATTTGTTTTACAACGAAAATGAGAAAATTTACACAAAGATCACATATTCAACAACACCAGTGATAGAAGGTTCCTTCCTTCTCCGAAGTGTTATTCCCGGTATGGAAACTATAAATGGAGCATTGAGACATGAACAAGCTATGCCGATGACAAAATCACATGCTGAGTTTGTCATCAATGGTCAAATGTCACAAGTCGACATCACATTCAAAAACGCATTAAAAAAACAAGGCTTTCTTCGCATCAGAACTCCTATAGCCGGCTTGGAAGATTTTAGCTTATCATTCTCTCACAAACACGGCAGAAATATAATTGAATCTGAAGTGCAAGTGAACTACGCGGAACAGCAGGGTTCTGCTGAGCTTTCTCTCAGATGGCGAAATAACATCGATGGTTCTTTCCGGATATCAACACCTTTCCGTGACATCAGAGACATCCGAGGAACACTTTCGCACTCCGGAACAATGCAGCAATTTACATCTCATGCCGATATCCAGTATGCGCCTTCCAAGAAACTGTCAGGAGACATAACATTCTCATCCATCAATGCATTCGAAGGCAGCGTTTCAATAAAGACCCCATTTGTTGGTTACGAAATAATAACAGCCGCTTTCAGACATGATTTTTCGAATCAGAATCTTTCCACTCACCTTGAAGTATCCTATCAACCCAACAAGAAGCTTGAATTGGATGTAACAGGTTCGTTATTGGACTCAACTAACGGACAAGTTACTATCAAAACGCCATTCCCTGGTTTCAAGGAAACGACTGGCATGTTCCGTCAAACGATACGACCAAATTCCTACGAAGCTCATCTTGAAGCAGTGTACAACCAGGGCCAACGACTGGAAATGGACTTGAGCGCATCCCCTAATGAAGGAAGGTTCGTTCTTAGAACGCCATTCGAAGGATATGAGGATATAACTGCAGCATTCAACAATGAGTTAACACCAGACAGTGTATCTGGTCATGTCGAAACTGTCTATCAAGGGCAAAAAATTGAACTTGATATTGCCTTATCCTTCTCAAACGGAAAGTTGCTCATAAAGACACCTTTTCCTGGATATGAAGAGATGTCAGTCAGTTTCACACACCGTGGAACAGTCTCCCGTGCAGCTGTATCATTCAACAAACAGCAGAAGTTTGCTGTTGACGTAACATTTTCAAAGCGAAACAGTCGATTTGTACTGACAACCCCATTTGCAGGTTACGAACAGCTTTCAGCATTTTTTACACAAGCTATCAATGGAGCCGAAGTATCTGGTACAGCTGAGATAGCGTATTCCACTGGACAGACACTTGAGGCTACATTCTCATTTTCTCCTGTTTCTGGACGTTGTACAATAAAAACACCATTTACTGGATACGAAGAAATGACAGCAGCTTTCACGCAACAGCTTACGAGTTCACGTTTTACTGGAAATGTAGAGGTCTCGCCCAAAATTGCTGAAATATATCAGATTTCTGTTGATGTATCTTCCACCTCCGGACAATTAACAATTAAGACTCCGTTGGATGGTTTCGAAACAATATCTGCCGCATTCACTAATCATCTTACCACTGATCGTTTCACTCACCAATCCGAACTTACATATCTTCCAGGACGTAAACTGGAACTTGATGTTACCGTTTCCTCTGGAGATGGACGCATTGCTGTTCGAACACCATTCCTAGGTTATGAAGAAATGTCGGCTGCATTTACAAACCAAATGGCAAAGCGAAGTATAGACACTACAGTGGATATCTCATATTTACCAGGGGAAAAAGTTAAATTTGTTTTGTCTCTCTCACCTACAAAAGGCCTTATTTCAATCCAAACACCCTTCGGTGACAATGAAGCAGCTTTCACCAATCAGGTTTCAAATGGAAACATTGCTACGCACGTAGAAATCACATACCTTCAACAAAACAAACTTGAAGCAGATTTCTCCTTTTCGCCCGAGAATGGTCAAATTACTGTCAAGACTCCATTTAATGGCTACGAAGAAATGTCAGCTGCTTTCACAAACCAGATTTCAGATAACAGTATCACTACACATGCAGAGGTTACCTATCTACCAGGAAGAACATTTACATTGGATATTTCTCTTTCGTCAGATAACGGTCAAATTACAATTAGAACACCTTATAATGGATACGAGCAATTATCCGCTTCTTTCGCAAACCATTTTAACGGCCAGAACATCGTAAGTCACGTTGAAATCCATTACCAGCCTGGTAAGCTAATAGAAAGTGATATTTCTCTGTCATTAAGAGAAGGACGTATTGTACTAAGAACACCTTTCACTGGATTTGAAGAGCTTTCGACCGCCTACCGACAGGAAATTGATGACAGAATTATTTCCGGAAGCTTCGAAGTATCGGTCAATCAAGGCGAAAAATATGCCATTGATATTTCTTTATCTTTAATGGCTGGCCGTTTGACAGTTCAAACTCCATTCCCTGGATACAGACAAATGTCTACTGCTTTTACAACAGAAATCTCTAACGACTCTGCTGCAACAAAACTGGAAATGTCCTGTAATCCAGATGAGAAATATGAAGCTGACATTTCGTTGTCGTTGCGAGAAGGTCATCTTATTGTAAAAACTCCAATCACAGGGTATGCAACCATTTCTGCAGCATATACATTAAATATGCGAAAAACTAATTTTGCCCTACATACTGAATTGACTGCCCCAAGTAGCGACAAACTCGAAGTTGATGTAAGTGCAAGTTTAGGAAGCCGTTTGGAAGCCAATGTAGTGGTTAAAACGCCATTTACTGGATATGAGCAAGTCAGCATAAGTCTCTCTCATGTCATGAAAAGTGGTAACATTCAATGCTCTGCTTCAATCGATTACGGAAAGCCGATTTCAGTTGCCGCCACATTGACCACAAGAGGAGGTATAACATCTTCGTTGACTTTAAAAACACCATTTAAAGGATACAGATTGTCTAAGATCAGTTTTGCATTCATCAAGAATGACAGAAGCGTCAACAGCCGATCCTCACTGGAATTCGCGGGACAAAAGATGGAATATGACCTAACCATCAGCTACGATCCTTCCATTGACGCCAGTTTTGTTCTGAAAACACCTTTCAAAGGATTGGAAACGACAACTGCTTCATTTCAGCATATTAGCTCAGTTGAAGACCAACAGATCCATGCGCAGATTGTTTACAGAAACCAAAAGAAGATCCAATTTGATATGAATTTGCAGGTAGGAAATACTTTAACAGGAAGCATGACACTGAATACACCTTTCACTGGCATTGAATCGAGCACAGCTTCTCTCGAGATCACAATGTCAGAATCCGGATTAACATCCAATATTGCCGCTACTGTTGGAGAAAAGAGCGTCAAACATACAATTAACTTTGCCATGACCGACAACTCTTTCACTGGATTGATTAACCTTCAGACACCATTCGAACATTTCGAACATACGGGTTTAAACTTGAATGTAGCTGGGCCGTTGACAGATGGTCAGGTTGACTTGTCACTTACGTATGGTGAAACTAAACCACTTGAACTCTTACTGAAACACACCATCTCGGAGGGCAGATACGATGCCAATGTCTTATTCCGTACTGTGTACACTCCAGAATTGACAGGCAGTATCAACCATAACGGCAATTGGCGATCATTTTCCAATGATCTGCAGATAGCAGCAGGAACAGATTATAGTCTACAACATGTCACTACGTTCAGATACGGTGAAAGTCTAGTTGACATGTCATCCACATTTACAGGGCGACTAAGTGGACGCAGGCATTCGATAAAGTCTACATTTAATCATGAAGGGCAGATCAACAACTTCAGAACTAATTTGATGAATAATTTCAATGGCCGTAAATCAGTCTTGAACGTATCCTTTAGGAACGCAGCATCTATCGACGGATCGTTAGATTTAAAAACGCCATTCAAAATGATCAAAAATATTGCAGCCACACTTCAGCATTCTGGGGACCTACACCAGTTCTCTACTATTGCAAATGTTCAATTAACACCAACAAAAGTAATAGCAGCAAAGATAGACTTATTCAATCACCGTCTACGACGAATCAATGCCAACTTTGAACTGACAACACCATTTGAGGGCTTGGAATTGACAAAGGTAACATACAGACACACTTTGTCTTCTAATGACGTTAAGTGTTTCAGTGATATCACCTACGGAAATGATAAAGTAATCGCTTCGTTGAAAGCATCTAAAAGTCCAATGTCTTTTGATGTCACTCTTCAGACTCCTTTCACTGACTTTGAGGAAGTAGGAGCTAAAGCTAAGTATGCCAGACAAGGTCTCAGCCATAATTTCAACGTTAACGTGAAATATTGCACTGGAAAGGAAATAGCTTTCAAGACATCAGTCGATCTCGCAGCTAATCCCATCACACTGACCGCTGACCTCACTACACCTTTCGCCGGGTATGAACTGACTGAGTTGCGGTACACACACAGTGGAAGTTTACCCGACTTCAGGTGTACGGCTGATTTTTCATCTTCCTATTCCCCTCCAATCAACGGGGAGTTGGCATTAAGATTAGTCTCTATCAGTGATATGCAGGTGCTCGTCACATTTACCAGTCCTTTCTTCGACAACGCTGAAACCCTGAGATTCGTTCTTCGTAATCAAAAGAACACACATGAGTACCAGTCACACGCTGAAGTTGCATGGACGCAAACCGACGTAATCGTAGTTGATGGAACATTTGCAAATAGTGAAACGTGGAATGGCAACACAGGCAATGTTGGACTTACTGTGAGTACGCCATTTTCCTCTTTACGTTCAGCGGCCCTAGCAGTTCATCATGATTTGGTGTCATCAAAGTACACAGAATCCATCAGCGCTGAGTGGAATGGTGAGAAAATGATTGATATGGACGTTGTGTTTGGAAAAGACACAGCGTATGTAGCAGCATTAATGATGCGTGCACCAACACCAGTCTCGTTTTCATCCAGTGGGGAAATGACCGATGCTGTTATCAGAGGTAACATTGACATCAACTGGAACACAATGAGCCAGGACAGCAAGATCCGAGTAGAAGCTGCTTTCAACGATAAAAGCGATAGCTTCACAAAGAGGAAGGAAGTGTCAATGACTGTTACACAACCTAAAAATTCAATTTCTGTCACTGGTACTCTGAGCAAGTCATCTGTTGCGTTCAGCTCCAGCGGGAACGTCATTGTTAATGGTGTTACCAAATTTGGAATTGACTATGATACTTCTGCAAAAAATAGACGTAAGAACAAAGAACAAAGCAACACATTGGCTATCAGGATTCCTTCGAGAACTCTCAAAGCAACAGGTCACTTCAGTGAAAGCTATGGTACAAAGACTACTGAGGCTGCCATTTTCTGGGATGCAGGAAGAGACGAAACAAAGAAAGTTGGAGTGAGAGGCACTTTTATTCCTAAAGGACGATCAACAAAAGCTGACTTTTCTGTAAGCTTCCCGAGTCTTGGAAAGGTAAGTTGATTATTTCATTAGGTTTGTTTGAAATCACATAACAAAAGATCGACAAATGAACGGTTTTATCTGTGATCTTCGTTGAAGGTGATAACGAAATTTGCATAATGCCCCTTTTTTTATATAGGATGTCAAACTGGACTCCGAGGTAACATTGAACAGCGGAAACGTTATGTTTGATGGAAAGACCGAATTCAGCTACTCTAGTGATATTAGCAAGACTCTTGTGATCCACTCACGAGTGGAAGATCTGTCATCTGGATTCAGAAAGAACTACAGTTTTATCGTCGGAGTAGCTCATCCTGCGACAACAGTTGACGTCCAACTTGCGTCTCATATTAGCCATGCAGACAACAAATACTCTGCCGATATTGGTTTGCAGTATCTAACAGCTGCTCGTAACATGAAGAACTTCGCCCTGATGGGAGAAATTGACAAAATGAGAAAACAGATGAAAGTCCAGGTAGCTGCATTTTTTCATTTATCTGGTATACTTTTAATTGTTTGGAAACATTTGAACTGTAAACATTCATCGCCTATTCAAAATCTTAATATTCAGCAACATATTATTGCATTTAAACATTTGTTGCAGATGGTTTCTCCACTTAAATCTGTAAAGGTTTCGGGTCATGTCAGCACCAGTGTTCCTTACCGACTCTCTATCCACAATCTGTATGATGAAAGGCCAGTGGACGCAGAGTTTACTATTGATCCTAGTAAACTTTCCATGAGATTCCATATGAATTACGACATTGGTGAGTACTTCGATAATGTGCACTGGTTTAAAGGATAAATATGATATCCCTTATGTGTTACATTAGGTAAAAAATGTCATCTTCGTACATCCAATGTTGTTGTTTTTGTAGACAACCAAGGCAAGGTTCTCCATGGTGAGGCTAAGTATGTGAATAACAGCGCAATCAGGGCTGAACTCTACCGAGAGGAAAATACTCAAAGAATCACTGACAGCTTGTTTGCTATGCGACTTAACACTTCCAGAATGCTTCACACAAGATTACACTGGCGTCCAAGTATTGTTCAAGATCTTAAGGTAAAATTAGTTAATTAAACAATTATCGTATAATATCTAACAAATTGAAAACTTTATGAAAATACAGTTTCTTTTTTCTTTCTATGCTACGGTGTTTTGTCTGTCTTTGTGTATGTAACGAGTTTCATGTTTAACAGACATATGGACTCCGACAAATGGCCCGTAACAGTAGAGACCTTTTGGAGCTCTATAATGAAATGTCGTCGGGAATCAACCAAGAGCTCAATTCCAAGTACAACAATATCAGGTCAGCCTTCCTGACAGAACTCGCACCATTTGTTCAGTCCACTGCCACCAATATTAGAGGCATCCAAGAAGACTTGGCTTCTCTGAGTGAAACATATGACTGCGCAGAACTTGATCGCCGTATTCAGGATTGCTCGTAAGTAGCGTCAACATATTTATTAACGATATAAAACCCAATTTCAGGTCGAGCTAGGTTTCATAGTATTGTTCAGTAGAAGTTACCAAACTTTCATTTTTACCAAATTCTTTCTTTTTCAAAGACAATATCTCACGGAAATCCTCTTGAAAATGCAAACCTTTGCTCGTTGGATGGAAACTGCAGCCTCTACTCGTGTGTCTTACCCACTGAAGGATACTGTGGACATGTACATCGTTGGCGGAAGTGAAATGCTACAGGTAATTAATTACTGTTTTATTTTATATAAGCGGACATTGACCTGAATGTTTAAATGCAGATTACTCATTCGAATTTCATTCAAACTACATTGTTGTTTATCATTTTACAGGCGATCGGACAAGAATCAATGAAGAACTACGCTGCCATGATGAATATGTTAGATGAGAAATTTCGAGAACATTCGACAACAGCTCTGCTGACATTCAAAACCTACCACGACCATTTGACCAGTACGTTTGAAATGCATGACTTTCATATAGCAGATTTAAACGCGATTTGTTTTATTGATAACAACACTAATTCCTCATGATTCGTTACTAGTTAACTTCTTGTTACTGTTATATATTGTTATTTTAGATGTCATTGCCCAGCCTATGAACACAGACACTGTGCGTCTGGCTAAAGCCAAGTACAATGAGTATCTCGCCAAGCTTACCAACCAATTACCATCTATCAACAACATGGCTCAGCGATACACGTCATCTATTTATAACACCAGGGAAAACATCAACTCTGCCCTTAATGGACTGCTGGACAGACCGGAAGCTAACTACGTGAAATCACAGGTATCATCCCATCATATTGGTCAAAGTCGCTGTTTTCATATGCAATTCATATGCAATTCCTTATAGCGGTGCCATTGTTTCATATTCCTTGCTCTCCTGCAGGTTGAGTTATCGTTGTGAAGACCTTGAATATAAATTTCATATCATTCTATAACAGGCTGTTGCTGCTTACAAATACTGGGAGGTTGAGGAGAATACCAAGGCCGCCATTAAAAGCGTTTACGATCACATCGTGGAAATAATCGAGGAAGAAATCGAAACACTGAAGTCCATCATCACTGATCTTGAGAAAACCAAGATAACAGTGTTCGACCCTGTTCATGGAGAAGTCCAAACTGACACTTACCTGATTGTTCCAATGAAATCTCTGAAGTCTCTTCCCGGCATCGACGTCATCCAACGCCTCAACGCAATTCGGTCGTACATTCCAGACACCAGTGAATGGGGATCCATCTCTGATTATGTGCCATCCTCTGATGTCAGCACCTGGATGCCACCTTTCGATGGTAACATTTCAATTTGCTATCGGTCATATCTCTCGAATAGTTTTATCATTCAAATAATTGTGTAAGAGAGTGCCTTAATTATCAAACACCGTTGGGTTTGGAAAGGTTTTACTTGATTTTAAAATGCTTGAAGAACTCTTTTCTAAACAGAAATATTAATGTAACAGGAATCGATATTATTTCTGTTCAGCGTTTGCATCCGTGGAGGGAAATACATTTACTACATTTGACGGAAAGACATACCAGTTCAGCGGCCGATGCAGCTACGTACTGGCTGGTGATTATATGGATGGTAACTTCTCTGTGATTCTCGACTATATGGGCAAACAGAAAAGAAGGGTGATCATCACCACATCCCAACACACTGTACAGCTCCTGCCAAAGAACAAAGTAAGCATGTAGTCAAAAAATGATATATTTTATCGCCTGATAGTTCTTACCAAAACAAGACCAGAGGAACACTTCAAGTTTCAATTAAAGAATGATTATTTCTTCGAATCTTCTTACTTGTCTTGATCATGTGTTAATGCTAAAATTACAAATCCAAAAACTTCTGATATTGTAATGTTTAAGATAATATCGAGTGATAAATACAATCACGGAATGTTTTATAAGCCATAAATGTCTATAAGAGTGGATGTAATGAGGTATCACGGCTTCTAATAATCTATATCATAATGACAACAAAACGATAATATTATAGATAACTTTTGTCCTCGTGCTAAAATAATTCCCAGATTCTCTTGAATTGTATCGTATTGCAGCGCCATATTAACTTATAATATTTTGTTTACAGTTAAGAGTGGATGGGGTCATTGTTGAAATGCCATACCATACCCAAGACATGTCCATCATCAATGAGGGTGATGACGTCACAGTGAGTGGGCGTGGCTTCACCGTTCTCCATAACTTGCCCCGTGATAAGTACGAGATTGGACTGAGTGGTTGGTACTACGGAAAGACTGGTGGTTTACTGGGAACTTACGACAATGAACGTCATAACGACATGATGATGTCATCACGGCAACTTGCAAGTGACGTCAGCTCATTTGCAGACACCTGGGAGGTCAAGGATAAATGTCGCTAATATGCTGATATGTTGATGGACGTTCTTTATCTGTACGATGATGAAAATCTTATTTGATTTGAAAATTTAGACCCTTTGCCAAAACATTTAAATGTTTAACTGGAATAAAAATGATTTAAGCAAGCAATTTATTTGTCAGTGTGTAATTATTGAATTTCATGAGGTAAAGCGTGAACGTTTCATGGAATAAGGAAACTAGAATGCAGCAACCTTCATCATACCAGGTGCTTACCAAACGTATGGATGCTGTATCATTGAAAACGTTCACTATTCGTTCTGATATCAATTGAAATATAATTATGCAACTATCCCCACAAAAATGTGCTGAACATGTGAGAGGCACTTGATAATAGAACAAGGATCGTCAGAGACGGGTTATGCTCTCCGAATGGAACAAACTTCAAGTAACAAAAATAGCAAAGGGCAATACATCCTAAATTGTGCAAAAAAGAGAGAGATGATTCTTAATCATTGTACTTCTTCTTGTTGAGACCTATCTACCTATGAAGTTTAATGTTTATACATCTTATAGTATCTGTGTTATGCTCCGGATAAAATTAGGACGGACGGACAACGCGGCAACAATATGCTCTCCATTCGGGGAGCATAACAAGTGCTCTAAAAGGTTATTTCAGATGAAAATGAAAAAGATGATTAAATGCAGGTCTTGTGAATAAGACTAATAAACTGGAGAAAGAGCGAGAGTTCTTTCCAAACACGAAATATAATTTCTTAGAGCTATTGAAAAGTTCTTCACTGTGAAATAAAGTAATTCAGCTGTGTAGAATTCTCATTCATAATACCAAATATTTTTCCTCAGATATGTAGTTTACAATCATTTAAACATTTTATGAAATACTTATTTATGTCGGATAGGTATTGAACGCACATGTTGGAATTCATAAGGACTCAACTTCCAAGTCACTTAAATCAACTATAAAGTGAATAATTCAGGATATATTACAATAATTGTACATTTATTAAAGCATGAGGAGTCCTAGTGTACGAAGAGACATAACTCTTCCTTTGTCCTATTACACATGTGAGGGTTCCTAGTTACGGGCAATACAAAGCAGGACAATACCAACATGTCAACAGAATTATAATCCATATTCAAATTAAATGAAACAAAGGCAATACGTATGTACATTGAGATTTCCAAAAAAGTACACGGAAAGTAATACCAGATGTTTCAGAAGAGTAAGGGTCTTCTGCTTCATTGACGACATCAGCCATGTAAATCTTTGACTATTCAAGTAAGAAACGTCATGTTCTCGAATGAAAACAAGCTATACAACATCAAAATCAACAGGGAAACTAACGATTATCAAATACGTCAATCGCACAAAGAAACATACCATTTCTCAAGGGCATCATAATGACGACTGTAAACCGTTTCTATGATTGTCATTAACCTTGTGAGCCGAAATTAAAGGAAATGTTCTCCATAAGATTTCCCCCTTTCTTTGCCGTTGATATATGTATCGTCGAAATATGGAAACATTTAAATTTATTCGAATATTGGTATTGATAAGAATAAACACATGTACCCTCTGTAATCATCCGTTATATGAACTTTTATGGATATAATTACGTTATGGGGCTTGTGAACCTCACCATCTTAATTTTGAAATTACTTTACGTCAATTTGGATCTTTTTTCACTCACTGCTCGTGTTTCACAATTCATGCCCTTGGCATAACTGATTACATGAAGAACGAAATAGCAGTCTAATGCGTTTTAATTCGTTATTTGTCTCTAGTTTCGAAATTGCATTAAAAGGTCAACTAACCTGTAATTCTTTTCTTTTGTAATATTTTCCAATATTTTAAGATTTTTCTATCGTATGTCACTGACTCGATAACTGAGTCGGGTGGTGAGAAAATTACATAATCATGGTAGAAATCACGGAAAATAACTTGATGATGAAAGCTTGGCCATAGAATAGAGAGTACTTTGCAATAGCAATATGTTTATTTAATGTTAAAAGAAATTAAAGTTGACATTTGTAGGCGGGATCTGCTACCACCAGGAACTTTAGACACAACATTATAAATAGATTAAAATATTGCAAGAATTTGGGGGGAAAAATCTAAAAAAAAAAAAAAAAAAAAAAAAAAAAAAAAATGGGGAACTTTCATAGTAAAGATAAGACACATCATTTAAAAACAAGTTAAGGTAATGTAAACAAAATTAGAGCATATTAAAGGCGAGGAAAGACACGTTTTATAAAAACTTGTAATAGGTATGAAAAACAAAATATAGAATTATCACAGGCAAGATAAGACACATTCTCTAAGCAGAAGGTATGTAAACGAAATAGGGACTAGCACTGGCAAAATCAGACGCAATTTCTAAAAACAAAAAACGCAATTTCATGATAAGACACATTCTCTAAAACAAGTAAAATATATGTAAACAAAAAAGCAAAAGGTATTTAAGTCAAATAGGGAACTATCAGAGACATGATAAGACACATTCTCTAAAACAAGTAAAATATATGTAAACAAAATAAGGAACTGCCATAGACAAGAAACATTCTTTAAGCAGAAAGTATGTAAGTATATAGGGAACTATCACAGACAAGATAAGACACATTCTCTAAGCAGAAAGTCTGTAAGTAAAATAGGGAACCATCAGAGACAAGATAAGACACATTCTCTAAGCAGAAAGTCTGTAAGTAAAATAGGGAACCATCAGAGACAAGATAAGACACATTCCCTAAAGCAAGTAAAGGATCTGTAAACAAAATACGGAATTGTCACAGACAAGATAAGACACATTATCTTAAGAAAACACAAAATGTTTGTGAAAAAAATAGGAAACAATCACAGAAAAGGTAAGACGCATTATTTTCAAAACAAGTGAAAGGGTTGTAAACAAATTGGGAACAATCGTAGGCAACATAAGACGCATTACTTAAAAATAAGTGAAAGTTGTGAAATAAAATAGGGAACTGTCACAGCCAAGATATGACACATTCCATAAAACAAGAAAAGCTAAGTAAATAAAATATTGAACTATCAGAGGCAAGATAAGACACATAATCTAAAACAGGTAAAGCTATGTGAACAAAATAGGGAATTATCACAGACAAGATAAGACGCATTTTCTAAGCAAAATGTTTGTAAACAAAACAGGGAATTATCACAGACAAGATAAGACACATTCTCCAAATACAAGAAAAAAGTATTTTTTTAAAAATTGGGGAACTATCACAGCCAACATAAGACGTATTCTCTTATAACAGGTAAAAGATATGTAAACAAGTAAATGGTATGTAGACAAAATACGGAAATATCACAGGCAAGATGAGGAACATTATCTAAAAAATAAGACATTTTTGGGATGAAAATATCTGAACACAGCAAAAATTCCCAGAATCCGAACATTGTAAAGTAAAATTTTACAGACACAGAAATATAAAAAATAATCTATCATTAAGTTACAGCCCACTGTTTAATTGTCTCTGATATCACACCAACAAAACAAAGAACATTGTTTTCAATGTTTTATTTTTCACTTTTCAAATACAACACTTTAACTTTGTGCTCATGAGATTCCGTAAAATAAACCTCAAAAGTTTAGCAAAGATTGGCGTAAGAACCATATTTCAAACAGACTTCATTTATTGGAGGCATTTAAAAGTCATGAAATTCAAGTCAATCGGACGATACGATGACGATACGATGGAGTCCATTATTCATAAAGTCATCTCATATCATTATCGGCGTATGCTGATAATGAGAATATCAAAGGTATCTGTTTAAAATTGATACTGTTCTATGACATTGTGTTTATTTGATAGTTATAAGTATAGGAAAAGCAATATACATGCATTGACCAATAATAGTGGGGAAATATTGTTTTAATGTCAAACATTGCAAGCGGATGCACATTACACAGAAGCGAACAGGTGGAACAAATATTATTGACACAAATCAGCTGACATTTTTTTAGAAATGGATAATTCATTATTGTTTAAGATTAAAGAAATGAATAAGCAAATACATTACGACACATGATGTTGTAGAACCCCATTTCATGAGATCGATCATTTTCTGAGGATATTGCAGTCTAATAATTCGGAAAAATATGTTACTATATTTGGGTACGGACTAGTATTGTTGGATTGTTTTGACAACCCGTAGGGCTATAATGACTTCAGGAAACACGGGGAAGCCCTTTTTTTGTTACTTATTTTGGGTATAAACTAGGACAATGAGATAAACGGTTATGTAATGAATAAATGCTGCACAAAGTGTGATTGTGATATATGGTATTTCTTTTACTCCATTTTCCAAAAGTTACGAAACACCAGCTTAAGCGAGTGCTTTTTGTAACTTTGGAAATCTAACGAGAAATCATTATCCATTTAAAATAAGTACTAAAAATAACATGATTTGATATTTCAAAAGCAAAATAAAAGATAGTAATCCAAATGTAGCTAAGATTACTACAAAAATGTCCGTGACCTACTTATTGTGCGTTAAGTGTGCACATAGTAAACTATTATGTAAATGCTTCTGAAATTGGAAATTCTGTTGGTATTTTCTTGATGCTTTTTAAGCCATGGACACCTGAGTGGATAAATCCTATTTGTAAAGCCGTAGGATGACAAGGAAAGCTCTCGAACTATCCCTCATATGTTTCACTAACATTTCGCAAATTAACCTTTTATATTCAGAATTAGTGTATAGATTACGTGTAACCAAATGGAACTTACACAAGGAAATGACTCCTATTCTTGTGATTTCTGAATATGAATGTGTTCGAAGGTTTGTTTTTCTTTAAGAAATATCGGGGTACATGGATATTGATTTATTAGGAATACTATCTGTATAAATCATATGTAATTAGCTTAGAATTTAGATGATAGAGGTCCAGCGTCCTTGTATGCCTCGGGACTCCTCAGATTCCGTATGTACCTTGAGTTTTAACAAGACACCGGTTGACTGTTGAGGACACTAATTGTAAATTACCAATGAATAAGGTAAGTCTTTCTGTAATATAAGTAAGTTTGGCTGTAATCTCTGAGTGTGTATCAATATCTCAGTTAAATGTATAAACGTGTTTGAAAAAAGGTTCTGCCTGGATGTTCTGGCTTGTCTCTAATTGTGTCTAATAAAAAAATTCAATTTCATATGTTGATTTCTCTGCAAGAATTTAAATAAACACCCATGATCACCATTAAAAGTATGAAACCGCAGCGAACAACGGTCAAATTAACAATGAAATGGATTTTGATAAAAGAACAAAACACTCTTTAAGGCAATATTTTGAAAAAAAGCATTTACTGTTTCATAAAACGGCGTATATTATTTTCATGAATACCTTTTCTATATTATATCAAAACAGTTATACGCATTTTGTTTCTAAAACCAACATATATATGCGCTTTACAATTGTAACTTTTCTAAAAACGAACACATGCATACAGATAAACGTTTTCTAAAATACCCAACACCTTATTTGTAAATTATTAACAATATTGATAACATTTTTGAAAAATTAAAACTGACCGAACACAATTCGTAGGATTTTACATAACGTCGTCATCAGTTGTGCAATTTATTTTATCTCCGAACAATACGATGACACTGCAGTAAATTCCCGAATTTAAGTAGATAACCAGTATATTAGAAATCTACGTCAGCAATGCTCGTGTCAATACGTAGTGCACTTTTGTACCCTTTGATAACTCATAGTTATATAAACCGCCACATCGCAGCAGTCGCATGGCATACTCATTGTATTATCAACGAACCACATGCTCTGAGAAATGGAGCTGAAATTACTTTTAGCAATGGCCCTGGTGGTCTCGGCACAGGCGGGTAAGTAAATGTGTTCATTATTTGTATGCTATGTTTTGAACTAATGAAATGACTGAAATCATTATTTATCAATTTCGTCTAGCACTTATTTTTACACCAAAGACAACCGCCCTACACATTAAGTTCTTTCTAAATTCTCAATTTATCACAAATAATTTCTTATAAATCGAATAAGCGCTCTGTATAATTTAAAATTATTCAAGAATCGTACTGTCAAAATCACCTACCATATTATACAAATGTCTGTATGTTATAAACATCGTATAGTTGTAATAACCTACCATATTATACAAATGTCTGTATGTTATACACATCGTACAGTTGTAATAACCTACCATATTATTCAAATGTCTGTATGTTATACACATCGTATAGTTGTAATAACCTACGATATATACTTATATTTACACATTGCATTACACTTATGTATGATGCCCACGATTTTGAAGTATTTTAAGTAGCTGTCATATTAGATATATATATATATCTTTGTTCCGTCTGATTTATGGTTGTTACATCTCTTCATATTACATACTTACTAAAAATATAGCATAAACGGCGTGTTCACGTACGTCACCTTGTTGCATAACGTATTCTCCTTTTGGAACGTGACCGCCTTTTATTGATCATTGGGCTGTCAATGAAGTCGCATACCCTTCCAGTATTTATATCTACTTGTACTTTTTCAGCAATACATCTTTCATATTGAATCTTTCGTTTTTTCATATTGTCCCTAATTTCATTGAAATAGGGATTGAATTCAGATTAACCTTGTCTTCTTTATGTAAATTTCTCTTGTTTTTATAAATAATTAATCGATGATTTATCCATAAAGTCGGTAATATCTCTTTTATACAGGCCCTATAAACACAATCAGAGACTCATGTTCAAGAACGTGTTCAAGTAAGTAATATTCTTGATTTTATTGGGATATATGACATCACTATTAACAAATAGTTTTCAATTTTGTAAAGTTGTAAAAGCAATATCAAAACGGAACAAATCGAAAGAAATAAATCGTTAAGTCATCATGTAAATATAACATACATCACAAGATTATAAGGAAATAAATGCCACAATCAATAAATCTTGACTTGACGAACAGCCAATTAAATTGTCTTTACTTAACAGGCACAAACAAGTTCGGATACAGACCAGGGAAGTCATACGAGTTTGATTACAATATGAAAACATCCACCGGTGTGAAAGGAGCATCAGAAGGTTCGTCCGGAATGGAACTAACGGCTAAGGTTGATGTGGAGGCAGTTTCCAAATGTGACTTTGTTCTGAAGGTAAGTGTAAAAAGCATCTCGCAAAAGTCTACTCGAATTATATCTAACTTCTGATTTGATTTTGATCTACACTATCTGTGCACGCAGTTGCTATTCGAAGTAAACATCAGGTTTCTGTCTAATATAAAAGAAATTTGATATTGCTTTTTTGCAAATATGATTGGAACTTTGTCTGGAAAAAGGAATCTGAAAGGTTAAGTGTAGAAATCTATAAAGGCAACATTTTAACGCCGTTTAACAGTTATGTCGAGACAGTGATCATTAAAGATGTGTGATGCTTAGTACTTCGGCTTCTATTATCGACATTTCTCAGTGAATATTTATCAGGCATTTTGACGTGTTTACTAACAACTTTCTTTTCCCCGAAGATTGAGGATGTACGACTGCACGAAACAGACCCAACTAACTACGAAAGGATGATATTGTCAGAGGGAAGTGAAGAACTTCGTCGTGTCTTAGAGAGGCATGATCTGCGATTTTCCTTCCAAGATGGAATCGTAGAAGAGCTATGTCCATCTTCGGACGAAGTCACCTGGGCACTGAACATCAAACGGGGTATATTGTCTGTCTTCCAGAACAGCATGGATGACCTCAGACGTGACCAGAAAACAACAGAGGTTTGTTGATATCTACTGAAATATCCTTGTTCCTCGCGAAAAAGAAATTATTTATGTGATGCGAATACTTAAATTGAAGAATGAAGTATTTACATTTCTGTTCTGTAGTCTGACGTCAATGGCAACTGCGAGGTCGAATACAGAACCGATAACGGCCAACATGACTATATGGTGAGGAAGACAAAGAACCTGCTCGGGTGCACAGAACGTAACGACTACAGTACATCAGTCCAGAGCATTCCGTACATAGTCTCTTCTGTAAGTAAAAGATACAAATCACATTGCGTTCGAAGTATAGAATTGTTTTATTGAGGCTTTAGAGTCCACACGAAGGACAATCTCATGTCCACATGCATAACGGAAGATATCTGATTGATTATTCACAATTGCCTTTACAGGAAAACCAAGCCATACCTCTCATTTACAGCGAACACGAATGCCAACAGGAAATTTCAGCGGAAGGATTACTGAAGGCTGCAAGCTGTGTAGAATCCCATATATTCAGACCGTTCTCACGTGAGGGAAGTGGTGCAGTAACCGAGAGCAAGCAGACACTCAGCTTTGTTCAGGAATCAGTTGCGTCGTCCATACCAGGTATATCTATTTATTCATATAAGGTTTCAATATCATTAACAAGATAAATTCTCAGTGGTAATCTTTCAGTTTATAAAAGAGTTTGG